TGGCTCTGTTGACTAATGAGTTTGCCAACCACTGACCTATGTGAACTTTAAAAGAATGTATATTCTGCTGCTTTGGGATGAAATGTTCTATAAATGTCAATTAAATCCATCTGATCCAGTGTGTCCTTTAGAATCACTGTTTGTTAAGTTTTTATCTGGAAGATCAAACCAGTGAAGTCAATGGGGTGTTAAAGTCTCATACTATGAGAATATTGTTGTCAATATCTTCCTTAAAGTTCTTTAGAATTTTTAAAAATATATATTTCTTTATTGATTTCAAAGAAGAAGGGAGAGAGATAGAGAGATAGTAACATCAGTGATGAGAGAGAATCATTGATCAGCTGCCTCCTGCACACCCCCTAGTGGGGATTGAGCCCAAAACTCAGGCATATGTCCTTGGCCAGAATCTAACCTAGGACCCTTCAGTCTACAGGCTGAGGCTCTATCCACCGAACCAAACTGGCTAGGGCTAGAATTTTTATATATACATTTATGTGATCCTATATTGGGTGCATATGTTTATGGATGGATACCTTTAGTATTATGTAGTGTACTTTTTGTCTCTTGTTATGGCCTTCATTTTGAAGTCTATTTTGTCAGATATGAGTATTGCTACTCATATTTCTATCTCAGATTTTTTCTTCTTTTCTATTTGCATGGAATTTTTTTCCCCATCCCTTCACTCTCATCCTATGTGTGTCTTTTGTTCTGTGGTGGGTCTCACGTAGAAAATACATAGTTGGGTCATGTTTTTGTATCCATTCAGCTACCCTATGTCTTTTTATTGGGGCTTTTATTACATTTACATTTAAGATTATTATTGATTTGTACTTTTTTATTGCCATTTTAATTCTGTATGCCTAGGTTTTTCTCTCTTTCTTCCTGTCATTACAACAGTTCCTTTAGCATTTCTTATAATGTTGCCTTAGTGGTGATATACTCCTTTAAACTTTTTTGGGGGAGATGGGAGTAGTCTGAGAAGCACTTTATTTGACCATCTATTTTGAATGATAACCTTGCTGGGTATAGTAATTTTGGCTTCATATCCTTACTTTCCATTACATTGAATACTTCATGACATTCCCTTCTGACATGCAGAGTTTATGCTGAGTAATCAGGTGTCAGTCTTATGGGAGCTTCTTTGTAGGTAACCATTTGCTTTACTCTTGCTGCCCTTAAGATTCTCTCTTTATCTTTAACTTTTGGCATTTTAATTATGATGTGTTTGGGTGTCAGCCTTTTTGGGCTCTTCTTGCTTGGGGTTCTCTGTTCTGCCTGAATTAGTGTAACTTTTTCCTATACCAAGTTAAAAAATTTTTCTGCCATTATTTCCTTAAACACATTCTCTATCCCTTTCTCCATTTTTGCATATTCTTTCATACCTGATATTTAATATTGTAACATTTTTCGTTGCTCCACAGCTCCCTTAAGCTCTCCTCCTGTGTTTTAATTTTTTGTTTTTGTTTTTGTTTTTATTTTATTCTCTGATTGAGTGATTTTTTTCAACTCTGTCTTCTAATTCAGTAATCTGGTCCTCAGCTTCCATGAATCTGCTGTGTATTCCACCCAATGTGTTCTTTATTTTTGCTATGTCATTCTTTATTTCTGTTTTCACAGTTACTATATCTTTTCTCATGCCTTTGAGCATCTTTACCATCATTATTCTGCACTCTGTATCAGATAAATTTCTTATCTCCATTTCATTTATCTCTTCTTCTGAAGAATTCTCTTGTTCTTTCATTTATGGGTTTTTTTCTCTTCTCATTTTCACCGCTTGTTTGGGTTTGTGACTATATATTAGGTAGATCTGCTATGCCTCTCAATGTCTAATGCAGGGCAGTGTCAAATGCTGTTTCTCACTAATTAGATCAGGCAAAGACTCAAGTGTCCAAAAACAGCCTCTGCCTACAGCCAAATAGGATTCAGTCTTGAATACCATCAGGTAATTGTCCACAGGTATGGTGAAAGTTTTTTCAACAAAGTGGGGTAATTGCATTTGCCTGGAAGCTAATTGTTATTCTCAGTCGCTTAATGGGCCTCAGAAACTCTGCACAGTGGTGCAAAGTGTTTTCCAGTAGTGTGGATTAACTGTATTTCCCCCCAGGAAAGGCCATCTGTATAGCAAATGTCTGTATGAGAAAGATGACTTCTGCCACTTTAGGGAATGACTCAGCACAGGAAACTGGGATTTCTGCCTTCTGATCTCTAACCCTAGAGCCACTGATCCTGGCTTCTGCTCACACAGCTCTAGTCCACTCTGCCATCTCTCTGCTAGAGCACAAGATGGGTGGTTCAACAGGAAATTTTGTGTATTGGCCCATTAAGAGGGTGCCTGCATTTCCAGCCATCTCTTTCTCGCAGATAGAAATCTTGCTGCATTTCACAGCATTAATGTTATGTGGATAACCTTCTCAATTTTGATGCTCTCTGCTCAGTCACCCAGCTAGGGGATTAGACCCCAGATTTCTCAGTGGCAATCCCCCACAGCTGAGATAGCTCTCAAGAACTTCAATTGCTGTCTGTGGGAGCCTGGTCATCCCTTTTGTGCCTCCTCCCCTCCTACTAGTCTCTCTGAGGTCTCCACTTTCAGTTCTCAGTTCTCAGCTTTCTCTTCAGTGAGTCTTCCATTGATTATTCATTAAGATTTTCTGTATTTCAGTTGTAATTCCAGTTTGGTCCTGGGAGTGTGTTTGTGCAGCATCCACTTACTCCACTGCCATTTTTAATCTCTCCCTTCTAGTCTCTCTAGGTTATGGATTTGATCCCTGGTTGGGCACACACAGAAGGCAACTGACAGATGTTTCTCTCTATGTGTCTCTTTTATTTTTATTTTAAAAATAAAGCAATGAAATGTAAGCTATTAGAATTTAATGTGATCTTTACCCTGGACCAGTGGTTGGCAAACAACAGCTCATGAGCCACATGAGGCTCTTTGGCCCCTTGAGTGTGGGGCCATAAAGTTTCAATCACACTGTACGTGTGCACCTGCATGTGGTATTTTGTTGACGAGCCACACTCAAGGGGCCAAAGAGTTGCATGTAGCTCATGAGTTGTGGTTTGCCGACCACTCACCTTGACCAATAGAGCATGTCACCTAATTTCCACATGCCCTACATTTCTCTCTGTCACAAAATTGATTTCCATTTTTAAAGTATACTCTGAAGATAATTCAGAAATGGAAACCCTATATAATAACAGCCCAGCAACTGAAATGGTGGAAGGATCAGAATGATCAGAGACCAGAACGATCATGGCCCCTCACCTCCCAGTGGGGACTCCCACCCCAATCTGAGGTCCTCATCAGGGCAGGCCAGCTTACCCCCACCCATGCACCAGGCCCCTATCTTATATAATAAAAGGATAATATTCATATTGACCCTAATGACTGAATGACCAGAATGACTGCTGGATCAGTCACTATTAGGTGTTCTGATTACCTTTCAGTTCCTTTCCCTGGCCGGCAGGCTCTGATTGCCAAATAGTGAGTGGTGAACTGGGGGTGGGTATTGGGGGATGTGGGAAGCACCAGGCCAAGGGCCCAACCCCTCTGGTCACCCCATACACAGAAGGTGACCCATGATGGGGGTGGGGCCAGCGAGTGGGTGGGAACAGCCAACCTCTTGGTCCCTTCCCCTGGCTATCAGGCACTGATCACCCAGGTAAACTATTAGAGTTTAATGTGATCTTTACCCTTGACCTGGAACTGAGGGTAGGTGGCAGCAAGGGGTGGGGCCAGCTGTGGGAAGTGGGGAAGGTGGCCCTGATTGCAGGCCAGGCATAGGGACTGTACCCACACATGAAGTTCATGCACCAGGCCTCTAGTATGGCATTATCTTTGTCTCAAATCATTCACTCAGGCCAACTTGGGTTCCAGTCCTAATTCTACCACTTAATACCTGTGAGTCTTTGGCCTGGTTTCTTAACTTCTTTTACCAGCTAAGACTCTAAGAAATTTACCATTGCATATCTGAAGGTGTCCAGAAGTGGGAGATCCCAGACTTGGTGTATGCGTCTGGCCCGTTTCTTTCTGATGTTCTTGACTTTTCCTACACTACAAGGTTCTTGGATAGGTATTAACAAGTGTGCAATAGTCCTGGGCATTATTTTAACAAGAGATATTGGGGGCTGGAGGTGTGGGGAGAGGAATTTCCTTTTTACATGTCTTTGCCCAGAAGCTGCTTGAAATGTTAAAAGACTTTCCTTCATGTCATTGGCCATATTTAGGTCACATGGTCATTCCTAAATGAATATGGTTGGAGAAAGCAATTGCCACTCATATTTAGCTGGTCAGACTCTTTCCTTAGATTCAGCTTTACCTGTCACATGGCAAAGAGGGAGTCTATTTTAGAAAGTAAACAACATTGAGGTTCTGCCCTGTCAGGTTGCTCGGTGGGTTAGTACATCTTCCAACTATGCCAAAGTTGCAGGTTTGATCCTCTGTCAGAGCACATACAAGAATCAACCAATGCATAGACAATAGTGCAGTGAAGGCCTTGGGAAGGGATAGGAGCAGGGTGAAGGGGATAAATGGAGGAGGGAGAGGGATTCCAACAATATGGATACATTTATAAAATTGAAAAAAGTAAAAAAAAAATGAATGCATAATAAATAAGTGGAACAACAAATTCATCTCTCTCTCCCTTTGACTCTTTTTCCCTTCTTTTTGAAATATTTTTTTTTAAATGACCTTTCACTAGGAAGTGAATAAATGGTTGATGGTCAACATAGGTCATTTACTATGGTTTTATTGCCTATGTTTCTTGCTTTTCCTGGTATTAAGTACATTTTTAAAAATTTTAATGTTATGTTTTCAACTAGAAGCCTGGTATATGAAATTTGTGCATGGGTACAGTTCCTAGGCCTGGCTTGCAATCAGGGCCATCTGCCCGACTGCCTGCAGCTGGCCCCACCCTCTGCCACCACCTGCTGAACCTGCGGGCAACGAACAGTACCTGAATGAGGGGGTGAGGATAAGAAAAAGACAAACAAGAACAGATGGAGTCGGGAGGGCTCAGACCCGAGGTCTGCAGCCACGAATTTTATTTTTCCAACCTTTAAATACAATTCTGAAGGAGGAAATATTTATTTCAGGCAATCATGCAGGTGGCCGTTTCTGCTAACATGATGAGTTCCTGAACAGATAAGTTCCTTCAGCACCTGACCTTTTACAACCACCTGATCTTTTACCACCACCTATCTTCCTCTTAACTCGCAGCTCCTTCTGTGTCAGCAGGCTCCTATCAATTGTTTTACCCTAAAGCAAAGACATCTGCAGTTAGCAGCGTTCCTAGGGGTAGTAGTAATTTTCCACTTAGGTTAATGGAAAGGGGGGCACATGGAGAGCTGTGTCCTACACCCATGCCTGCATTTTATTATATAGGATAGAGGCCCAGTGCATGGGTGGGGGCCTTCCCTGATGGGGACCCTGGATTGGAGTGGAGGTTCCTGCAGGGAGGTGGGCTGGCTAAAGTGAGGGACTGTGGGTCATTTGCAGGCCAGCCACAACCACAATTTGTGGAGGGGTCTCCACTAAGGGGAGAGGGTCAGCTAGGGTGAGGGGAGGCAGTCGTTCTGGTCTCTTGACTTGATCCTGGTCATTCTGCTGTTTTGGTTGCTGGGCTTTTATTACATAGGATGTGCTATATTTTTAATTGACTTTTTTAAATGTATCTTTATTGTTGAAAGTATCACAGATGCCTCTCCCTTTTTTCTCCATTGACCCCCACCACCCTGTCCCCATCCCTCCCAGGCCTTCACCACACTATTGTCTGTGTCCATGGGCTCTGCATATATGCATTAATGTTAATCTCTCCCCAACCCATTCACCCCCTTAAATTATTGATTTTAGAGAGAGAGGAAAGGAGAGAAACATCAACCTTTTGTTGCATTCATTGGTTGGTTTTATATGTACCCTGACCAAGAATAGAACCTACAGTCTTAGAATACTGGGATTATGCTCTAACCAACTGAGCCTCTTGCTCAGCACCAATGTGTTGTGTTTTTAAACACACACGCAAAAATTATTTTTTTCTTCTTATTGGGAGGGTTATATATACTATTTGATTTTTTAAAAGTTCTTCATGGAAACTATAATAATATACTTGATTCTAGAGCTTGACTGAATAATCACATAATTAAAACTTCAGGGAGCCTGATGTAATGCAGTCTCCTTGAACTCTAAAACCAGAAACGGGTTTTGGCTTATAAAGAGAACTTAAATTAGCTGATCTATCTAGACATATGGAAACATGGCATCTATGCACATTTTTTTCCATTTCATTTACCTTACCACTCAGACTTTGAGGATCTTCCTGTAAATTTGTCTGTGACTCATCCTCAAGTCAATGACTTAATCTAACCAAGGGAAGGGAACATGATTATTCAACAAATCCACAATCTCCAGTTAGGGAGCCAGAAACCTCTAAGGGGGCTAATTCTGAGGCTTGGCACTTTTCATGTTCTCCTTTTTTCCTTAAAAAAAAAAAATCAGTACTTACAGTTGGTCTGCTAACTGGTATTTTTTTTATCCACTGAGGGTATTTCTGGGTCTGTTTGCTTTGCAAGCTCACACAAGATCTGGCTCAGCTTCTTTGTACAGAGCAAAACAAGTCCTGTTCCTGCTACTTTTTCTTCTTTTCTTATACCCAGTAAAAACATAAATTATCTCATTGGAATTCTCATAATAACACTGTTATCAAAACAAGTCAGGCAATATGGTTTAATTTTACAGAAACGGAGTGGAGGAGCCAGGAGCTTCATTTCTAGCCTAAAGTCACTTAATTAGCAAGGGCAGTTGCTGGGTTCAAAGCAAAGTGAGGGACCCAGGAAGTGTGGTGCACTCTGCTAGATCACATGTTTGCAGTAAACACCAAATACTTACTGCTACACACCTCCCCAATACAACTGCATATTAGAGTTGTTGCAGTGTAAGCCTTATTTGTTCTCCTATCTATGTGTTACATATAGTGGTGATTGGTGTGTTTAATGGAGAGGTCTGGAGGAGGAATTTACACCTTGGTTGAGATAATAGTCCTTTTTCTCTTCAATACACCATTTACTGAGATGGTTTATGTTTGAAACTGATACTGAAAGCAGCAGTTAGAAGATAAATTTACTAATTCCTGGTTTAACACTGACAGGCTATACCCTGAGGCTTACATTTCCATATGAATGAAAGCAAGCAGGTTAATATATGGAGGAATGGTTCTCCTGGTCCTTCATGCATATACACATACAATCACACATACTCTCACACACACACTGACCAAACCCATATGTACATTTATTTTCTTGCTATAGACCTTTCCTGGGTGGTACAGAAAATTCTGAAAGCAGGTTAGTTATTTGGTTGAAAGGATGAAGGATTCAGTTGGTGGGAGTGACAGGAGCAGAGTTTGGCAGTTATTTGCTTATTTGTTGGGTTGGATGGAGGAATTCACCCAAGAAATTGAGTCTGTTGATATAAAGCCCAGGACTATTAAGAAAGAGAGATAAATAAAGACAACTTTTAGGTCATTTTACGGACATTAGCATGGTAATCTTTTTTTTGCCTCCTCTTCAAGTATCCAGTCTCCTAAAGCTCCCTTTTATACACAGTTGTACATTACTCTTCAGTGAATTTTGGAGAACTATTTATGTTTAGTTTGTAGGGTTGCCAGATTTCACAAATAAAAAGACAGGAAGTCCAGTTAAATGTATTTTCATATAAGCAATAAATTCTTTGTGTGCAGGTCTCAAATATAGCATCAGACAATCTTTTACTATAAATTGATATCTGCAATTCAAATTTAATTAGGCATGTTCTATTTCATTTGGCTAAGACACGTATAAAAGAAAGAACATCAGTTTTATTGGCTTCAATACAAATTGGAGGAAAGTTTATTGGGGACTTTGGGATATTGGCCACTGTTCCTAAACTTGGCTGCATATTAGATTCACCAGAGGAACTCCAAATTCTGGTGTGGCTTAGGGATGCAGCCAGGATGTGGTACTTTACAAAACATTCCAGGTAATGCTTCCAGGGAGATACTGGAAGACTGGGGTCCAGTAGTTCTCATCTTGCACTACAAATAAAAGACAAGTGCCCATAACCAGATCCTACCCCAAAGCAATGAAATCAGAATCTAGGTGTGGTCCTCTCCATTGCAATTAAGGAAAAGCTCTTAGTAAATTATAATATTCCTTCAAGATTAGAAAGTCGTAGTAAAAAATATGACATCCTAGGAAGCACCAGTTATAGGAATCTTTAAAAAATTATCTTTAATTTTAAAAATATAAAGTTAATATTTATTATAGTGAATTCAAGCAATAAATAAGCATGTAAAATATAGATGAATAAAAGGCCCTGGTTAGGTAGCTCAGTAGGTTAGAATGTTGTCCTGATATGCCAACGTTGAGGATTCAATCTCTAGGGAGAGAACATACAAGAATCAACAAATGAATGCATAAATAAGTGGAACAACAAATTGATGTTTCTTTATCCCCTCCTCTCTCTAAAAATAAATAAAATAATTTTTAAAAATTAACTTCCCTAATTCTCCTTTCCAGAGGTATTCATTGTTCCCTATTAAAACTATGTTTTCTCATGCAAGGAGGAAGAATCAATGAGAGGCAAATGATGTGTCAGTTATCTTTTTTTAAAGATTTTTAAAATTTATTTTTAGAAAGAGGAAGGGAGAGGGAAAGAGAAACATATGTGAAAGCAAAATATCTATCTGCTGCCACCTGCAGGCCCGCTACCAGGCAGGGATTGAGCCTGAAACCCCGGGCACATGTCCTGACCTAGAAATCAAACCAGCAACCTTTCGGTGCATGGGACAAAGCCCAAGCAACTGGAGCCATCCCGGCAAGGGCAGATATGTCAGTTATCTTTTAAAGAAGTTGCCACATGTGCTGGGGTGGCATGACTCAGTAATTGAGCCATCGACCTATAAACCAGGAGGCTACTGTTCAATTCCTGGTCAGGACTCATGCCAGGATTGTGGGCTCTATCCCTAGTGGGGGATGTGCAGATGTTTTTATCTATCTCCCCTTCTCCTTTTCTCTCTGAAATCAATAAGAGCATTAAAAGAAAGAAAGAAAGAAAGAAAGAAAGAAAGAAGAAAGAAAGAAAGAAAGAAGAAGGAAGGAAGGAAGGAAGGAAGGAAGGAAGGAAGGAAGGAAGGAAGGAAGGAAGAAGAAGAAGAAAGAAAGAAAGAAAGAAAGAAAGAAAGAAAGAAAGAAAGAAAGAAAGAAAGAAAGAAAGAAAGAAAAGTGCCACACTTTACTTTTAATGGATCAGAACTTTACCAATTCACTATGCAAGGAAATGTGTCTATTTCAGACTTCACTGTGAGTCGTGGAAGCTGTAATAATATAAAGAAAGAATGTGAGCAGAGACATGAGTGGACAAAACAACCTTTATTACAATCATGCTGCACTCCTGACATTCCCATGTAATGGCAGTGGCATTGGACACACTGCTGGCCAGTCTCTATCCCCTTGTTTATTTGCCTCAGGGGGACAAGCAATATTTACTTATGTAGTGAGTTTGAGAGAAGGAATTGGTCATAAGTAATTTGGTTCCTTCTTTTTATCTCTTTGGAGAGGCAGCCTGTGTCTGCAGGGAATACACATTCATAGCTGCTCCCTGGCATCAGTTTTATAGGGGCCAGCCTGCACCAGAGACCACTCTAGTTTTCCAGCTCTGCTTGAGATAGGAAGGGGAACTCTGATTCTATATTATTCTGTAAACCCATTGTTTGCAAGGAACACTACATATTCTTAAAACAGCTTCAATCATTATAAAAATCACTTATGTTTTCTTTCTGATTTCATTCACAAAGTACTTTATATAAATATAGTTTCCCTTTGGAAGTTACAGAGTTCTCAGTGAAGAAATTAGCATAAACTCTCCCTGATTTCCATGTCCAGACATGTCCTGTGGCCATATCTCAGACAAGTGGCATGAATACACCATAAACACAAACACAGAGAAAACTAAAAATTCCCTAACTAGTAGAAAGAATATTAATATTCAAGAAACTTAATGGGATAAAATAGACACTGAGCATTTCCAGGAATAATCCTCATAGTTTTCTCTCATCTACTAGATCCCTGAATAAAATAATCCCATATCCCCAGCTACATCATCTGTTTCTGTCACCTGTTTCTGTCATCAACAGGCCGACTAGGTCATATCTATGCAGAAGTTGTTTTCAATTGTCCATTAGCTATATT